ATTATGTGGACCAGTTGATGAAAAATCATCAAATAAAATTTATGGAATTGTATCTTATATTGCACCAGAACTATTTAGAGGAAAAAAATACACAAAAGAAACAGATGTTTATAGCATTGGGATGTTAATGTGGGAAATATTTGCAGGACATCCACCATTTGATGATAGAGCACATGATGTTCATTTGCAATTAAAAATATGTGAAGGTTTACGACCACCAATATTACCAGGAATGCCCAATGATTATGTACAGATGATACAAAGGTGTTGGGATGCGGATACAGCCAAGAGACCAACTATTAGAGAGCTTTGGGAATTTGCACAACATAAATTTAAAACTGTAAGTCTTAATGAAAGTAGTGGTAATATTGGTGGTGGTAGTAATAACAATAATAATTCACAACAAATTCACAAATCACATCCATTAGCATATCATACAAGTCGAATATTAAATGATGTAAATGATGTAAATGATGTAAATGATGAATTTGCTAAATCGAATTTAAGTAATGATAGTATATTAAATTACGAAATATAATTTTAATAGGTTAATTAATTGAAATACATTAATTTAAACATTATTAAATTACAATGATAATAGTAGTAATAATAATAATAATAAATATTTGATAAGGTTAAAGTTGGAGAATTGGATGAATTGTTATTAATTTTTTTCATTATTTTTCATATGGAATAAGATTTTTTATTTTTAATAAATTTTAGCCCTTAAAAAAACTTTGTTAATTTGACTTTCCAAGTTATTTTGAAAGCGAAAGCGAATTTATATCAACCACCACATTTTAGGAGGAGGAGGGTGAAAACGAGGAGCTGATGTCGAAGCTAATATAAAATTGGATTCTAGTATGTATGCATTTCCCAACTTTGGAAGGTTAGTATCAAGTATATATTAAACAAAGAAAATTTGAAAATGACATACGAAAACAGACTCTTGTTTGAGGATACCAACAAAAAAGAAACCATCTGAATCACAAAGAACAATATTTCACGTCCTATAAAAATAATCTAGATGGTCTCATACATTTTATAATGAACAATTTGTACTGCAAGAAGATTTAAGCATTTACCAAATCTATGCTAAATGATATCAAATTTAAAACTTCTTGCAATAAAACGGCGCATAAATAAATATACCATGCGTATTAATATACAAAATATACTACATTAATGTTAATCATTAATATTATTTTTTTTAACAATTAGAAATCAACCTTTTTAGGTGTTGCTGATGTCTTTTTTGTCATTGACATCCACAAGGTCGGGGTAATTTTATCTCCAATATAATTTGAGATTCAATCTAAATAAATATACTGTTATAGGTTCAATTAATAGTTTAAAAATACACTACACATAAGGTATTTTTTATAGAATCGCACAAAATCATATTAATTATATTATTTCGTAAATATTTTCATTCTTTATTAAGATACTTCTGATGATAGCCTCTTAATAGGCAGATCATGCATTCGTTCGAGCCATTGGTATATTATTAATCCAAAGATTTTCTTTACAAAGTCATCAATAAATGACGCTTTTCTTTATTATTATTGATTACATCGACGTAAGTCTAGTACTATCAAAACGATCATTAAGATCAGAAATTTCGGTTAATGACAAAGCTGGCTCGTCAAAGATTAGGTGACCGCCTTTAAAATTATTGTGTATATAGTAATAGTAAACCCCGCTAATCAATCCGAACCCCGTCATTCGAAAACTCTGTTAATAATAATAAACTTATTTATTAAATTTACCCCGTTAAACCAATTTTTAAATTACACTTGATCTTCAGGTTTTTGGAGTGCCCCGTGCATGAATCCAAAGACCCCGTTAATCCAAATAAAAGTGGCTGCACAATGTCTTTGGCTTAACGGGTTTGACTATGTAGTGGATGACAAGGAATCAGATAACTATTTTATAAAATAGGGAAGAACTAAAGATACAGACCAATGGCGCAGTGGGAAATCTCAATCGCATGTCAATCAAGTGCATTTTGGGTAGTTTTAAAGCCAAAAGTATTTACAAAGTGGGAGAAGCCTAATCAGCCTATTGACAATTTAGGTTCGGGATGATGTATGAATGGTTGATAATGAATTTGCAGGATCTTTCCAATTTAGGGTAAGATAAACTCTTGATGGCCCGGCTCATACAGCTAGTAAACGACCTTCCTTTCACACAAAATGCCAAGGGTTTATGGGGAAAATGGTTATGTCGCTAAAGAGAATGGATTGCTTTTGTGTATACTTACCATGCATCGTATTTTATTGCTTTATTGTTGGTCAAAAAAGCAAAGAGAAAATACCATATTAGTAATAGGCTATTTTCAGGATCGTCGCCATTTTTTTCCCATTGTTGTGTTACCTTGAAAAAATAAATCAACAAAATATAAACAATAAATAAAAATTTAGCAATTTAACACAATTTGTTTATTTTTGCCATTTTTACCAACATACTTCGTTACTATTACAAAAAAAACCCACCAAATTTTAATTTTATCATTCATTATCTATCTCCTTTTAATTAAATATATTATTTTTATATATAAAAATTTAGAATTTTAAAAATTAAAATTAAAATTAAAATTAATATTTTTTTCTCATTCTTTTTTTTTTTTTTTTTACAAAAATTATTTTCTTTCATTTCACACAAATTCTTCCACACACTATTCTGTTATTAAAGCATTACATTTTCCCTTCAAGCATTCTTTGTTTATTAGTTTTCTTTTATTATATATCTATTTTTTTTTTTTCATTTTATAAAATAATAAATAAACTTATCACTTTCTTTTTAATGCCTTGCTTTTATTACAATGTCACAACTAAAGATGAATAACGACGCAGAATTAATACAATCTTACATTGATCGTATTAAAGTAAATGTATGTTCAACTAATCTCCAATCATATTCTATCAAAGTGATTGATTCCAATTTCCCAAGTAACCTCACAGTAATTACCTGTTAACTCTATTCTCAATTTTTTAATAGTTACCAACTAAATATAGAAAATTAGAAACCATCGAGACTGATCCAATAGTTCAGGCAACTGTTACTGCTATTGTGAATATGTCTACCTTAAGGCTTGGCACAATCGCTAGTTCTTTAACAAAATTATTAGAAAGCGTCACAGAGGTAACAATCGAGATAATCAAATTATTAAAATCAAAATTAGTTCTAATCCCATCTATCCATCAATCAATTTTTTCAATCCCTAATAATAGGATCTGGAAAGTTCAAATGTTTTAATAGATTTTGTTGCTCCAGAAAAATTGCAGATGCAATTATTCTTATTGAAAATACTTTCAGCGTGTATGAGTAACCATTGGAAAAATCATAAAATTTATCGTGAATCTCAAAAAGAAATAATAAATGAAAGTTTACAAATATCTAATAATGATGATAATAATAATATTGGTGGAAATTCATCACAGCAATCAAATTCATCAACAATTGAAACAACAATAATTTCTACTGCTAATTCTAATTCCACATCAACCACCGTTTCAAAATCCCCTTCCGCTACTATTTTACCATCATCGTCATCATCATCCCCAATTGACTATTCTTCCACAATTGTTAATGGAGGTGGTGGAGGTGAAACAACCATTTCCACTGCTATTCCAAATTCTCAAAACCATCAAAATAATGTAAATTCAAGTCCAGAATCAAAAAATCCTAAAAATAGACAATCTGATAATCCACCACCATTAAAACCAGAATTGGCAAACTTCATTTTACATATTTTGTCTAGATTCCTTCGTCAAAAATCACTACAAGACGATAATGCCGGAGTGCAAACATTACCGAGTGGAGGTTTGCCTCCATCTAATCAACAATCACCATCAACACACGAATTGCTAAATGAAATCTATAAAATTGCTGGTCATGTTATATTTTATATTAGTGCTTCAAATTGGAACGTTGTGTTTAAGAGAATAAGAAATAAAATTAATCAAATTTCTGCAACAAATGATGAATTTCCCGATACTTCTGAATTGCGACTGCTCGAGTGTTCTGATTTTAACAAAGAAAGATTGGAAGAGGTATTAAATGTGGTTTGTGTTTTTTTTCCTAGACTCAGAAGAGGTGCTCAACTGGACACAGCAAAGTTCTTACGTTATGCGATATGGAGCTGGATTGAAGTTTTCCCCGATGAATTTGTCTTATTATGTCAATCAAAATCAAGAATGGGAGGAAAACCGGATGTGTTATTCGATAATTGCTATAATTCGGCCGATCAGCCTCATCGTAAACCTGTATTATGGCCACTACAAACAGTCTTATTAATTATTTGTCCTGATATCTTAAATAAAATTGCAAACAAAACTTACGATAAAGGCTCCCCAAAAGTAATTATTAATCATCATTATTGACTGGTCTTATTATTATTCATTATTGTCTAATTAATAGTAATAATGATTCTTGTTACAATTAACGTTTAATTTTCATGTATCTATGATTTTTAGGTTCTATTTTTAGACCTTTTAAAGAAATCTTTGAGAAATAACAACAAATCACCTGAGGTGGCAGCGGTGGCAGCTAAATGTTATGTAGATTTTTGTAATGCATCAGTTTATCTAGCAAAAAGTGACTCGTCAGTTTTTACTCCATTTCTTACTGATATTCGAGAAGATTTACAGGTAATCGATTGTTGATTAAATATCAAACAATTATTAAATTATAACAAAAAATACAAATAATTAATAGTTTAATTTTCCTCAATTTATATTTAGAAAAAATTGTTTGATCCGGTTAAACCATTCCCAAATGAACAGAATATAGACCAAAGATTAATGTCTGACTGTTTATTAGCTTTATTCAGATTAAATCCCCAACAAACATTGGGCTCTTTGGTTAATATTTGTCTTCAAGATGATGCTCCTATTGCCTTCAAATCAGTCCTCGTTAAAAGTTGTTATGGTATTGCTTTAGAGGTAAATAAATAAATATGTGTATGCATATTGTATAATGAATAATTTTTTAAAAAAATATTTATAATGATTTTCTTTCCCTTTTTTTCCTTCTCAACCCTTTCAAAAAATTAAAGGAAAAATCAACCTCACCGCTTCCATGGGTTCCACAGATTCGTACAATGTACTCAATACTTGCTAAACCACTTCGGAAACTATTCATAGATATGATATACAAAAGAGATACAAGACCGACCGAATCCGGCGGCAGAAGATGGACCAGGTCTGAGATTGTAATAAATATTTTGAAATTATACAAAACTGATCCAATACTTGCAATAGCCGTTAATGATTCTAATGATCATGTAAAAGAAAACCAAAAAATGATATTTGCAATTTCAGAATGCATGAACAGTGATGTCCATACAATAAAAGCTACTTCTTCTGAGGCTTTATTGGCTCTTCATAATGTGGAATTGATTGAAAAATGGGGAATAATAAACAATGATATGCAACAATTTTGGCAAATTAGGTAAAATAATTTATTTTTCTATATCACGGATATTTGTATTTTATTAATCGTATAATATTTTGATCATTATCATAATGTTTTTACCAATAATACCGATTTTTGATTATATAATATTTTACTAATAATATTACCAAATATTTAACAATAGTTCACACATCACGCATTCTATGGCAAAGCAATTGTTAGAATGTAATGAAAACGAAGAGTCTACAAGAAGTATGTTGGAAAGATTATTAAAATTATTAACTTTTCGTAATGAATTCTTAAAAAAGCATCAGGTAAATTTATCAAGTTAATAAATATTTAATTGTTTATTAAATGTCCGTGTCTCTAACAAAGTAAATGTTCTTTTTATTTTCCTTTTAATAGGATAAAAGCTCATTAAAATCTTATGCACAGGATCGTCTTTCATCCAATATAGCACTTGAGATAGCATTGTTAGTTTTATTATGTTCTTCTGACATTGATATCTGCACAATGGCAATAAATTGTTTTAGTCAATTATGCCAAGAAGCTAATCTGTCAGGTGCAATATTAAGTCATGATATTGAAGAGGCAAACGATATCATACCATATCATATGACAATTGTAGAGAATATGAATGTCTATAACGAATTATCAGAAACCGCAGATATGTTTCATGGAAAGGTAGCCCAACAACGTCGCATACGTAAATTGTTGCGTATGATGACTAAACCCACTCCAGGTAATCTTGGTGCATGGGAAGAAGCTTGGCGAAGATGGAGACAATCGATTACCCAATTCTCAAAAACTCCCGATGATCAATTCATTGAATCTCCGGATAGAATCAGAAGATTCATTGGCAGGGGCCGAGCTACAATCCCTATTCCGCATAAACTACCTGTGTCTCATAGTTCTTCATTTTCAATCCCTGACAATCAAGTTACCGAATGGCAGAATTACACAGGTTTTTTAACATCATTAGGGGGATGTTGTGTAGATGATAAAATATTAAATAGTGCCAACGAATACGTCGATAATAGATTATCAATGCCACAACCAACAGATTATCATACTATGGTCGAGAAATTTATACATGAAATGGTCGATTTATTAACAAATGAAAGAGTGTTTATCGGTGAAATAATCAGAGAAACGTTAGGGAATGAGTTGAGTCCAAGATTGTTTGTGATACTGTTTCGATATATGGAAACACTAGTAAAGGATTTTTTTTCAAATGGTCAAGTAATCTCATCTCCCAAGAACACGGTAATGGTGGAACAATCCATCACTGTGTTGAAACTTATCTTGGATCGTATACATGATTCATCAGAACATTTTTATACTTGTGATCTTGGCAACTTGGTACTTTCGTTTGCCAGATATTTAAATAGTTTGGGCACTAATAATATAGCTTTACGTATCAAAAGGAAAATTTGCGTCCTTACGGAAACTTTAATGATCAAAAAGGAGTTTGTGAGTCTCAGACAGGAGATCAAGTTAAGAAATAATTTGTTGGAAATGATTATCGAGTGGACTTCTGACTTTTCAACCGTAAATTTCATATTATTATATTATAATACGTTATATTGTTATTATTTTATTTTTTAATTAGTATTTTTTTTTTTGTATTAGAAAAATGAAAATTCTATAGGTTTAGAAAATACTGTAAATAAAAATGAAAAAATGCACCGAGAATTGGATCAAGCATGCCTAAAAACCATAGTTGCGCTATTGGATAAACTTCCACTACAACCTTCTGATACAAATCTTAATACGGATTTGGCCAAATCCAAATCTAGACTTTTTTATAAATATTTCTCATTTTTTATTAAATTATTAAATCGTTGTCGTATCCTTGAGGTTGGTGTTTTAATAATAATAATGGTAATAATAATAATATAAATTAATTTTTATTATTGTTGCATAGGCAATCGATCTTGGAACGCACTCGGCTAAAAATAATCACGATTTACAAATGCTATTATCAAAAGTACGTGTTTTTGGAAATTTATTGTTATTATTGCTGCTATTATTATTAATATCACAATAAATATTATTTTTTTAAAAAAATAACAAATGATAGTCAAGAGACTTTGTTAAAGATCTTGGACCATTGAAAGATTATACAATTTTGGCGCTTAGCAACCTATTGAGTGCAAATGTTGATTCCGGCTTGACATTTTCACTTTCAATGGCCTACCACGAAGATTCAAAGACACGAACAGCATTTATGCAGGTTCTTACAAATATTCTTAATCAAGGAGTAGAATTCGAAGGATTGACCGAGAATGCTATGAAAGAACGTTATGAAAGATTGGTTAATGTGTTCACAGGGCCAGATTTGGATTTTGCACTTTCATTATGCGAAGTTTGTCCAGTTATAGAACAAGAAAATCTTGCCGAGGTGCTGGTACTCGCGTTTGATTCTCGTAACAATTTATTACCTTTATTAAAAGCAATGTTTGACAAAGAAGTTTCTAGAACATTCAATGATTATGATTTGCTTCGACGAAATAGTATTGCAACAAGAATGTTGGGGTCTTTTGCTGATATTTACGGTGACGAGTATTTGCGCGAGACGCTTCAGCCAGTTTTCAATATGTTATTACGAAAACCAAAAAATTTCAGATGTGAAATTGATCGTGAAAAAATGACTACAGATGATAATATTGTTAAAAATTTAAATAATTTAAAAGAGGTTGCTCAATCATTTTTAGATGCCATCTTTGCTTCTTCTTCAACAATACCAAAAATGTTTAAATCTGTATGTTACCATCTATCTAAATCGGTGGGCGCTAAATTTCCTGACTCATCTCAAACAACAGTTGGTTCATTTTTATTCTTGAGATTTTTCAATCCAGGTATAGTTGCACCAGATACCAAAAATCTTTGTAAACCAATTACCGAAGAAAGAATAAAGCGCATATTGCTGTTAGCCACTAAAGTAATACAAAATTTGGCCAACAATAAAAAGTTTGGCGCAAAAGAACCCTATATGGTTGACATGAATAAATTTTTAGAGTCTAATATTGAAAGATTTAACGAATTTTTACGTGAAATTTCCCAAAAAGAATATTCAATTGAAGAATTACGAGAAAATGATGTGCTCCCGCGTAGATTAGATGATGCTCATAAAAAAATTTTACACAAACTTTTGTATGACAATCAAGAAAGGATGAGTAGAGATTTACAAACTCGTAGAGTTAAGAACAATCTGCAAAGTTCATTAACATCTGTTTCCAACATATCTAAAACAGCAACATCTGGCACAACAACAACAACAACAACAACAACAACAGCAACAACAACAGCAACAACAACAGCAACAACAGCAACAACAACAACAATGCCGACGATAGCAACAGATTCGGAACAAGCACAAAAAAATAAAAGTGAATGGGACAGAATATCCACATTGTTAGCACAATTAGATCCACCAAATATCAATTCAAATAAGGAGTTCAAGAGATACAATGCTATTTATTATCAGTCCAATAACCATTTATACGCTGAATTTATGAAGCGTTATGAGAACCGAAACTTGGAACCAATTATCACTAAAAAATTGTTTTATCGATATGGTGTGTCGAAAGAGCGTAGACCTGTTTTTTATTATATTGCCCGAAGAGTTGACGCTGAAGCTATTGATATTGAACTTTTGACGTACTACGTTCTTCACGTAAGTTAATTGTTATTTATTTGTTATTAGGATATTATCAATAATATATTATATATAAAAAAATTTTTTTTTACCAGATAATCGCAAACTGTATGAATAGACCATTCGAGATACTTTTTGATTTGACACAATTTGGTTTATCAAACGAAATACAATCACAATGGGTTCAACAATTTATACAAATTCTTCCATCGGACATAATTGAAAATTTGGCAACACTTTATTTTTACAATACAAATTCACCATTTAAAAAATATTGTAAAAAATTAGCACATCTTATCACTAATAAATTGGCCAGAAAAATTGTTTTTTGTTGTTCATTGAATGATCTTCATGAATATATTTTACCTACAGAAGTTCAATTACCAAGCACCACAAGTAAGTTATTGTTTTTGGGCAAGAATTTTTGATTAATTATTTTGTTTATTTGATTCTAATATTTGACATAATAATAATTGTTATTATTCCTCCCCCCTCACTCCAAAAAAAAAAACAAACAAATAATTAGCACAATTGGACACAGATCATTGTACTTCTTTCAACCATGTTAGTCGCATATCTCACTATCGCATGCAAGTTAATTGTACGATGAAAGTGAGCAATGAGCACATTCAAGTCATAACGGTAACTAACTAATTTTGATATTTAGAATAATGCTTATTTCATTCTTATTGATTAATATTTTATTCGTATTTAAAAAAAAATCAAAAAAAAATTTTTTTTTTATAGAACAGAAAACAGGATTTATTTAACGGATTAAGTTGCTATTTGAATGATGTTTATCACATATCAGTAATTGAAGATGTGAGTAATTTATCACATAGATACGATGACAGTGAATTTGTAATCAAACAAAATAATGGTAGACCTTCGTTAGCATTCTCAAGTTCTAGACGTGAACAAATTATGCAAGTAAGTAATATCGACAAGAGCGGCGGTATGATTTATATAATAATGATAATAATAATTATCAAGCGTAATAATAATCCATTACGATATTTGTTTGTAGGCAATAAGAACATCTAAAGCAGGTTTTCAAATAGCTAGACCATCATCAAATGCTGAACGGACAATTACCCCAAATAGTGTACCAGGCACGTTTCTAAACATGGCATTGTTAAATATTGGAAGTGAAGACCCAAACTTAAGATTAACTTCGTATAATCTGTTGGTGGCATTAAGTCTTGCTTTTAACTTTGATGTTGGAAATCATTTACTCAGTGCTAAAGGTAATTTAAATTTTCTTTTTATTCGTATTATAATAAATCAGTAATTTAATGTTGATAATTGAGTATTGATAATTGAATATTGATTATTTTCTTGTCAATTTATATTAGGTTTATGTATTCCTGTAAACAATACAAATTTTGTTGTACAACTAAGTCAAAGATTGGCAATAAATGAAGCACGTCTTACGCTGGAATTTCTTACTGAATTTTTTGTTGGATTCAATAAATCAAGCATACCACAAAAACATTTATGTCTCTTGTATATGGCACCTTGGTTACAAAATTTAGCATTGTATGTAGTAAATGGACCTGATAATCAGCAATTTATTCTGAAAGCTAAAGAAATTATTCGATCGTTGATTGATTTGACTGCAAAAGAAACTGAGGTAAATTAAAATAATTTTAAAGAAAAAAAAACAATAGTATTTTAATTTATCTAAAATAAAAAAAATTTTTTTTTTGCAAAAAAATGATCTAGTTATATACCGCTATTCAAACTAAAATTTGGAGCACATTGATAGGTATAGATGAACTGACAAGTTTAATTATAGATGAATTTATTGCATATGCAGTTGAACATGGGATTGGTTCAATACAATCAGAAACGGTGGCAAACACAATAGTCACGTTATCATCAATTAGTGTTCGTGGTAAAATAATTTCCAGGCTTCGAAGGGTTATATCAAAAACATCTTTACAACCAAGCAGAGACCTAAAAGACAATCCATCCTGGACTGATATTTCTGTTTTGATTCGATTCAACCTGATGCTCTCATTCAACAATCTTCAACACATATCCGTTCACCTCCCGGAATTATTCCACATCGTATCACTACTGGTATCAACCGGATCACAGCTTATACGAGCATCAATTCATGGACTTATTGTCAATCTGGTTCAGAGTTTGTGCACAACACCGTCATCTGATAGTGATAACAATGAAAACCGTAAATTTCTAAAACTGTTGCTGACCGAGTTGTCAGAACCAAAACATCGATTTTTTTTCGGATTGACCAATTCACCAGGAAATGGTGCTTTTGATATATCAGCAAAATCAACAGATAATTTAAGTGATAGCTTACCATTAAATTCATTGGAAAATGTTATTCAAACTTTATTGGAAGTAATGAAATATGGCGCACCTTCGATTGGTATGTGTCATCCGATAAATGTATGTCCATGTGTGTTTATTATATATGTTAATTGAAACAAATTTTTTTCCTCAAAATCATAAACAGATGTAGCAAATTCATGGAGAGCACGTTGGATGGGATTAATTACAAGTACAGCATTTCAATATAATCCTGCGATACAACCAAGAGCATTTGTAGCACTAGGATGTCTTGCACATGAAGAAGTAGACGATGATCTTTTGTATCAGATATTGGTAGCACTCAAGGGAGCATTGAATCAATTTGATCAAGAAGATTGCTTGCTAGTCATTAGCATACTGATGTGTCTTACCAATATTGTAAAAAATCTACCAATTGAATCACGTTATCTCCAAAAAATGTTTTGGTTGGCGATGGCTCTTATACAAATAGGTCATGTTCCAATTTTCCAAAGTGCATTAGGACTATTACACTCTGTATTGTATTCGTTGGATAGTAAAGGATTTTTTATACATGAGGGGTTTGATAAAGTTTTGATGAGATCAAGAAGATCGTTGGAATCTGTTACCGAAAGATTAGACGAGATATCCGGTGTTAATTATGAGCATTTTTCATTTGCAGTGGCTGCTACACTTTTGAGATGCTTGAAAAATGGAGCAACGAGAGTCGCAACACAAAATGTATTAATATCATTTTTGGAAATAGCATCAAAAACTGGAGTTCACAATAACAAAACGACAATCCGTTCAAATTTACTAGGATATATGGCAGCTCTTTTACCATTATCGGCTAATAACGTTGACATGAAAGAGTTGTTGTTGTTGTCGGGCGCAAACGATATAGAGATAGACAACTCGGAGCCAACTTTTAAGATTTTTGAGAAAATTGATATACCAGATAATCAAACAGCTTTGTTACTAGTATCATTGATGGTAGCAATGTTAAGTTATGCGGAACAAGAGACCGAAAAATTGTTTTTATATGGATTTTTAGCAGAAGCAGCAGAAATTGTTCCAGAAGTTTTTGCTCTGGTGTATGAAACATTGATGCCTAGAATGATTAACATTGTATCGGACGAGGAAATTTCACCAATAATAATAGATTCAGTACAAGCAATTATTATTACAGCAATTTCCGAACCTGAATATAAAAAGAAACTAAAAGGAACTCAACTGTATTATTTAAATGAGATTGGATTTAAAAGTTTGTCAGATAATGCAATAAAAGGCGATTTATCTCAAAGCAAGATTAGAAAAAATTTGGAATTAACGTGTCAATTAATAGAATCAATTACTCGTATAAATTAACCATTTAAATTAATTTTTTTTTTTTAATTAAATTTATCAATTATTTTATTTATTTAAACTAATTTTGTAAATAATATGTTTAATTGTTGATTATTATAATCATAAAACTAAAAAACAAAAAAAAAACTAAAAAAAAAAATATAGTAAAATATATATAAATAAAAAACAAATGTTTTTAATTCATTGTTTTTTAAGGTTTAATCTAAAGAATGATTGAATAATTGGTGATCAACATTATTATTGTTGTTGTTGTTGTTGTTGTTGTTGTTGTTGTTGTTGTTGTTGTTGTCGTCGTCGTCGTTGTTGTTGTCATTAGTATTGCCAATAACTGCATGAAAATTTAATAATCTACTAGTGTAAACAGCTTTTGGATGAAAATTGTTTGTTGAATCCAATATCGTGATTTTATTATCATCCAATCCATCAAATTCTTTCCTAATTAATTCCAATTCATCGAGTTTCTTTTTAGAATAATGACTAATTTTATGACCGTCAAATGAATTATGCCAAAATGAAATCATGTCAAAAATTTCTCTTGAAGTTGGTCTTTTATCTGGATTAGCATTCATACACCTGCATGCTAAATCAATAAAAAATTTCGGTGTATTGTTTTTTGAAAACTCGGGTCTTAAATTCTTGTTACATATTTCTATTGCAAGATCAGCATCATGTGCCAAATTTTTGAATGGTTGTTGACCTGTTGAAATCACAGACATCAAAACTCCAAAACTATAAACATCAGATGCCATTATATATGGTTGATTCCTTAAGACTTCCGGAGCGATATATGGCAGCACTCCATAAACATTGATTTTAGCATCATCATCATCACCATTAATATTTGTATTACTATTTGATAACAAATCTTGATTAGCTGGAATTGACAATCCCAGATCTGAAATCAGAGTAGTATACTTGTCAATCTTTAAAATATTACCAGTATGAAGGTCACGATGTATAGCCTTTTGTCTGTGAAGATAATGCAGACCCCAAATGATATTATATAAAGTGGATATTTTATCTTTCCATTTCATAATTGTAAAATTTTCTTGTAGATAGTGTTGAAGATTCCCATTTTCTGCATATTGCATCACAAAAATGTATTCATTTGTGGTTGGATCTTTTGATAAACCATAAATTTTAACTATTGCGTAATCTTGAAGTTTGATATATTCTTCAAGCTAATCGAATAAATAAAAAATAAGTAAGTAATGATATTAATTATAATAATAATAATAATAATAATAATAATATCTACTATTATTATATATATATAAATACCTTTAGTAAAAATCCATCTGAAATATTTTGCGAATTATTTAATTTTTTCAATGCTACAATCATATCTTTACAATATCTTATACGCTTTCTCTCGTCAACCGATCTTTTACCGTTCAACCAAGTAGCTTTGTACACGGTGGAAAAACCACCTTCACCAATCTTTTCAACATTTGTTAGATCGTCAAAAGGAATCCATTGAAGGTAGTTGAAATTGTTGAATGATTGTGTTTTGATCTGTGTGCTTTTGATTATCTCGTCGATTTTTTTATTACCACTGGACCAACCTTTTGTTAATAATTGCGGATCACATTTTTGGCACCACGAATGGTATGTGTTGTATCTTTTACAACTTGAACATTTACCGTACCTTTCATCTCTTTCATCCGAATATTCGTCATTGTTATTTTCACTTTTACTTTTATTTTTGCTCTTTTTTGTTCTTTTGTTTGTGGTTTTGCTTAAACACACTCCCATCGTTTATTAATTAATATTAACCATTAAGAAGGAACGTAATTAAGTTGGTGTAACAGAATTATGGTTATAGTTGATATTAATATTAATATTAATATTAATTAGAATGTTAAACTAATAAATAATCCATTAAGCAAATAAGAAATGCACAATGCTTAATGTTAATATTGATACTTAACGTTAAATATTTAATATTAACATTTAACATTAAAAAATTGCCAAAACAAGATGAATGTTTTTTTCGTGTTGGTAGATTATCCACTTATATTTATATGGAACAAACATTCTATTAAATTAATTAATATGGAAGGTTTTCAGGGGGGCTACATACATATTTGGAACTATTCCTCTATTGCTATTACTATGTAATTAAGGGATTGTCATATTGCATCGTTCACCCGTAAAAAAAAAAAAAACCATTCACATTCAAAAGACAACGTTTTGTGAACCTTTCTTTGATTGGCGTCAAACAAAATAAATAATTCTGCCTTGTGTTTGAACCTTATAAAAAAACGCCACCACTTCACTAATTCTCGGGGTAAGGAAAATCAAACCAATCAAATCACAAATCCTTCAATAAATCACAATTTTATTTTTGTTTAAAAAGCCAAAATAATAAAAAAATATTTGTGATATTTTTCATCAATGATAAAAGATCATGAAATTGTGTTGACATTTATTGATTTGATCAACAGAGGATTTTGACAGAGGCATTTTTTTTTTTAAAAAAAAAAAAAGTATTGCCTTAATCACTATTATTTTATTTTTAGAGGATAACAAATATGTAAATTCACATTGGGTGGCATGAACAAAACTTACAAAAACAATAATACTGACTCAAGAATCCTTCTTATTAGAGTCTCACTACAGGTTGGATTTATTTCACAGTCCCAACAATTCAAGAATTCCAGCAAGAATGAAGATAATGATCGTAATGATAAACATCGGGATAAAGGTGGTGGTGGTGGTAATAACAATTGTAGAGATTGCCCTGAACAAGCTCTTCAAATCGTGATGATGGCAGAGATACTATTACTATTTGGATTTTTTTTAGCAACTACTCAATACAACAACAACAATGATAACAATTATCAAGACAATAGAAATTTTAAATAACGGTATGATGAGCCTCTGAAGAAGTATATCATCCAAATAAAATTCCAAGGAATATAGGAAATAATTAAAACTTGCCTGAAAATGGGAATGGCCATGTTTCTGGTAATTTGAATATTGTATGTTTTTTTTTGAATCGTTAACCTTGAATTTATTAACACCTGGTTTATCTCTGGTCATTGGGTAAATGAATGGGATGGTAACGAAATGTCTGCTTCGGTTAATGATTATTATGACAATAGAAAAATGAGGGCTGGAAGAGCAGAAGCTGTTGGTAGTGTACGTGGTAGAAAAGATGAAGATGAGTCTGATGAGTCTGATGAGGAATATGAGAAGATTATTCTAGAGGATCAACAAATTGCAAATTTCAGATCCATCACATTACCATAAATTTTTACAGAGTTTGATATATTGTTACCAGACCCTCCATTAAATTTAAGCTGTGTTTATGATTATGATGATGATGATAATGTGATCATTGACCTGGGAGGGGATGAAGAAGCCTTGAGGATTTGGGAACAAGAAGTATTGTTGGATCACTTGGTGAGGAAAAGGTTCAATTGCAAATTGTTGAGGGGGAAAAGAGATCATTAATGATAAACCAAGCTATGTCTTTAAAGGCAAAGAAATCTTGAAAAAAACCTTATTTCCCTATAAAAATTTTCCCAATCTAAATGCGTATAATGCGCACGTAATTTTTTGGAAATCATGCATTTGCACATGGAGAAATTTGATCTAACAAAAATTGGAGAAAAAATATAATGTGGAAATTTGCCTGGTTACAACGTACAAGATGTAAAAATTGTAATTATGAATTATATGAATCAATTGGAAGATTCGAAGAAGATGCCAATTAGTATCGAACTATTAGGCAAAGATTGTAAAAAGACCATCAGAAGATAAAATAACGAACCTGGATCAATGATGATTAGTACACCCCTATAAAAAATAACATACTAAAATGAAATCACAAAAAATTACGGAAACCAGTATATACTACTGCTCCTATTATTATTCGAATATCAGATATTAATATTCGAAATTGATGTCAAATATTCGATATTCGTAAAATAATAATAATAATAATAAATTTCGAATATTCGATAAACTTTTATCATTATTAGACAAATAATATTTTTGTATGATAATGAATAAATGTCGAGTTTCCAAAACTATAGAGTTTCGCAACTGTGCGAGTTTTTGATTTAGTTTTGACTTTCTCCTCTTCAAAATAGTTTTGGCGACCAATATTAGTATATGAATTCACTAAAAATAATAGTCTTGACAAAATCTAAATAAAAATCACTCAAAAGTTTGAATTTTCTTTAAAAAAAAAAAGGACATTATGAATATGTTTTCACAAATTTCTATATACATGTTTTTTTTCAAAATATTTGCATGTCCAACTATCATATGTTGAACGTTATTTGAGTTAGTTGAAATTGAACTGAAACAGGAATGTAAACTAGTATTATCCAAAACATCAGATGAGAATAGTGTATATATTAGAAATCTTTTATATCGCTGTCAGATTCATGATCAAAGGGTCCACCACAACTATTATTACCTAATGGTTCGTTATCATTATATTACATTAGTAGTAGTAATACCTACTACTAATATTATTACTATTATTTACTAATAATATTATTATATCTCTTAATTCGCCGTCATTGTGATTATTTAATGATTCATTGTTATTATATTTTATTCTGTTACGATATGGGAGCAAATTAGTGGTAGATTTTTTTCTTGTCATTCTAAGTAATGAAATGAATGAGTCGAGAGAATATTTTTTTATCATACAAAAAGGGGAGGAAATTTATCAGACAGTTAAGTCGTTTAAAAACTCTTTAGCCGATTCTTTCCTCGGCCGGTTGACATCATTAATAGGAACACTGGTTTTTTGTAATTTTTCCGTTTTAGGATGTTTTCCGTATTTTATTTTTATAGAGCAGAAGCGTTCAAATATGTACAACAAAAAATTTTATAACTTTCTAATAAAATGTCAATAGATTAAAGAGTGAAATTCCACATAAAGATTTATATTAATATAATAATTCAGAAGGATTTTATGATTCTATTATTTTTTTTTTTTTATAAATCGAATATTTTTTAGCGAATATCACGTGATTTTACGGTACATCCAGAATGCTTTTACGGGTATCTCGATTTAGCAGACAAATTTCTTGTCTATTAAATAAAGCGGATTCACCGTGTACTATTTTTAGTTTACCGGGTTTTTGCTATATAATTTAACTACCTTCACATAATAATAATATTTTTTATAATGAATTTGGTAAACTCAACCTCGTATGAAAAAATGTCTTCACCAAAGTCGTTTAATTTATTATTTTTAGTGTTCCTCTTCATCTTTACGATTGGTAATTAATTATCTATCACTGATTAATTGATTTTACATAGAAAACTACAAATTGATATTTTTCCTTTTCTTTCTGTATAACAGATTTAGCAAAATCTACACCAACTAAAGATATCTCACCATTAATACAATCACGATCACCAATAAAGTTTCATACAAAGGAAAGATTTGTTATTCCTTTTAATTATGCAGATGTAAGACTCAAAAATAATTCAGCCATTGTAATTGATTTAAAAGTGGGAGATAATGAATTAATAATAATAAATAATTCAACATTAAAACTGGGAATTACATCACTTCAGGTAAATTGGTGTAAATTAGTTTGCGGTTAATAGAAAAATTCTTTTAATGATCATCCATCATTTTTTAATCGAAGGTGATCAAAGCAAAATCCATTCCAACTGATATTAGTAAAGAAGAAATTGATAACTACTTTGATAGTTATGACATAACTGTTAAAATAAGTTCTTCGATACATTCACTTTCAACAAATATTGACGATATAGCAATTAATTGTATAATAATATCCATAACTGCTATAGAGGTCGACAGTTTACAAGTTATACAAGTAGAAAGAGTTGAAAAAATATTGATTGAAGACTACTCCTCCGCTTCCTTCGACGAAAATAAATTCGAACTTCGTGTGCGTCACTTGTTGCGTTGTTCTCCAAAATTCATAATAATTTTATTTGCTGCATTCTGGCTCACTTTTATATCTGCAATATTCTTTATGATCGTTGCATCAGCTTATCAAAAATACTCATTATCTACAACTAATCCTTATCAGCCTATACCAACCAAATAAATATTTGAAAAAATTATTTATATAACTGATGAAGAAAGAAGAGCCCTCATGGAAGGACAACAATCATAATAACTTTTTTTAAATATTTAAATAGAATAATAAATCATAATATAAATTCAAACATTTTTATAATTAATACTCAGATTAACCGGAAAGAACAAACGGTGAACAGCCGACTCAAGCGAATATAATTAACATTTATTACGGGGTTAGATAGGAATTAATATTTTTCTTTTTCTTTTCTAATAAACAATGTTAAAAAAAGATCGAGATTGTTATATATTTTTACAATTTCGATAGCACAAAAATTACTTATTTATCGTGTAATGTGTGATTGATATCAGTAGTTTTATTTTCATTTCCTATTTTTTAATATTCAATATCCTTTATATATAAGATAATTGGAGTAAATTGTAGATTAGGCAACTACTGTCTTTTTCTTTTGCATAATCCTATTAGTTATTTATTCTCTTGATCTATGTCCTACTTTCTTGTAAATAAGCTTTTCTTTTCCAAAACGACACAAGATGCATTTTCAATCCTGAGATATCCACTTGCGGTGGGCCACTCATTTTCCCCAAAAAAGTAAATTGCAAAATTCCTAGTATCCGGTTTCTCTCTAACTTCTTGAATACATTTTTACAAAAGCTCTCTCAAGTTTCTTCATCCGCCAATTTCATTAAGACAATAACTTCACTTTTTCCAGCTATTAAGCCATGTGTATTTGCAACTTTCCTACGTTGTCTAGGTACTGTGAGATCGTATCACAATTAGTTGTATGACAACAGGCAGCCGTTGAATTATTTGCCCTTCTACCTTTACCTTTAGAATAAAGTTAAACTAAATACAATAAAAAGAATAAAAGGAGGAGGATTAAGGAAAAATATTAATTAATATTAATTTTCATTTCCCTTCTCATTCATAATATTTATATTTATATTAGGAATGGTGTGAATGCAGCAACTCTAACTAACATGTTGCAGTAGGAGATAGTTTAACCGGAGAATATATAAGTGAAGTGAATCGTCAGGCTCAACTTCACACCGATCTCTCACATTGTAGTAAATATACATTTCGGAATGTGAAAATTTTCAATTTAAGCAACTTGATTTTAAATACTCGGAAGGAAGGGGAGGATCACTAGAAGAGAATCTAGGATAATGGTTATACCTCAAAGGGCAAGGACTTTGTGACTTCCAGTGAACCACACACAGGCTAAAGCTTGCAAGCATGATTTTAAGTTAAAGAACCGGATACTTTTTTGAAATTCAAAGCCAAAAAACAATCTGCAGAGATTAATTGGCAGATGTGCGTTAGAAATTACAACAAATACATCAAATCTAAATATAGCCAATAATTTTTTGAGAGAAGGTTGGTGAAAGCGTTATTACAATTTGGGTAGTTATTTTAATTCAGGAACAGAATCGAATTCATATTAATGTCAATAGATCTTATTTTTTCTATGGATGGGAATTAGCAAATATTTCACAGGGATTGGAAGAACAATGCCAACATCATAATAATACATTAATTAAGCCATGAAAATTAAAAAATCTTCTATGCTTGTTAGAACACAAAAATTAGAAGGAAAAAAATATTTCTAAATGGGTATTAATCGAGTCAGCTGTGATTTATTTTCTCGTTTAAATCCAGAATTCCCGTCCTAATTAAATCGCTAATGTGATGAATAATAATTTACAGTATATATTTTGCTTATTTTTATTCTGATTTCTGACATATTGGTAATTGATGTCATCAGATCTGAAATTGAACGAGCCTTTACTTTCATCCTTTAAAATAGATAAAGTAAAATTCCAACTCTAACTCTAATAAAAATAATTTATTATTGTTGCGGCATCACAATTTCTTGATTTCCATTATTTAATAGAAGGTTTTGCTAGCCTTGATTTTGGTCCAAGTAGTAAATACAAGGAAGAAAGTTAAAGGATAGTGTTGTACAAAAAAATTAATCAGACATCCATGTTTTTTGGAAATTATGTTTGAAGAAGATATCTTATTTATTAATAATCGGGGATTGATAACATTTTACTAAAGTAATAATATCTTATTGACATTAATGTGGAGCGAAGTTTATTATGTCTTTTACATTATACGGGTAATTATAAACAATTGAATAGTTGGAGAATTGACGAAATGGTTAGTATATTTATTATTATTATTAAGAGGTGAAAGCAACATAATCATTGAAGATGGGAAAATTACTCTTGGGCAATTTTAGTATATAATAATAACATTTGATTATCGGGAAATTTACACTTACTGAAGGTTACTTTAGGGATTAAATATTACAGTTATTCTCATATTCCTTGTAGCTGATGAAGCAATTAGATTTCAGAGAAGTCATGGCTCTGGAGTTTATTGAAAAGTTGCATTGTTGTCAAAGAGACTGTTAAAACCTCTCACTTGTCTGAAGCCCTTCGCTTGTCCGAATCTTTTCATCTGTGGAGAAATTCCAATAGCAATGGACAAGACGACTGCATGTTGTAGTAGGAAAACTTATTAAATCTGACACCTACGATCAATGTCAGATTTACCCATTTTGTTTTTCTGGAAACGATTTTAAGGAACTCCACAACTTGTTATCGTATGCAATCGGGAAGCATACATCCACAACGCGCACACAACGTACGCGCGCACAGCACGCACACAATACATGCGTACAATAAAAGATGGAATCAAGTAGAGAGAGACTTTTTGACTACTAAAATTTTCCCACACCAATTGGACCATTGTACAACACAGAAAGTAGGCTCGGATTAAAAACGTCAGAGGCCTATTTTCTAACTCTACCAAATTTTCTCATCATTTACTTGTCAGGATATTTTTCAAATTTGTTCCTTAAAACTTACATTTCTGCACGGATTTGGTATGATGCAGTTTATCAATTTTATTTATTTATTTTTTAGAAATTTTAAGAACAATAACATCAAATAATAAACATTGTAACGAACATGTGATATATGGAGGCAAAGAGTATTCACGTTCAAGTAAAGGATTAAATAAAAAGATAAATCATGTTTATTTAACTAGGACATAGAAGAATACATACATAATTATAAAAATAAATAGAAAACCACTAGAGGATTGCATGGGAAGAAAATACTCGGATCCAAAACCATTGTGAGCATTTATTCTTTTTATTATGTCATTTACTAATATTTGTATCCTCTTCATGTAATTCTCCTCCACTCCTTTTATTAATCCATTGCTGGATTGTTACTACCGTTTTCTTTCTTGGATTGGTTTTACGTTGATGGAAATCTTTGCAACGGAGGCAGCAATTCCCTTTCCTTCTCCACATAACTTACGAATTTCAATGACTGTTTCACTAGATAAAAGGTCCAGACCTAGCTAACCTTTTTGTCAAATCATTGCTTTGAAATCCTTTCACATATTTTCAATTTCTTCTGAATTTTTTAATTGCTAGTTGATTGGTTTGATTTATTTTGATCTTGATTAAAAATAATGATAATCATTTAAATGGAATTGTTGTACGTGAAAATGAAATTATGTGAATTCGCAATTCACATATGTGAAATTCAAATTTACATGTGTGAAATTCAAATTAGCCAATCAGAATTTCACCCCACTCCATAATATTTCAATTTCACATAATTTCAATTTCACATACAACAGAATCAAAAAGATAAAAGAGAGTCTCACCAATTATTACGATTGTCTCTTTACGTTAAATATACCCGATTAAATACTAATAATAGCCATTATTCATTTAAATATACAGTACCTAATTTCTTTATAAATTTTTGATTTTTTATTCAATAATAAATAAATAAATAAATATATAATAAATCCAAGTTTTTATCAATTATTTGTGGCAATAATTATTTCTATTCTATTCTAATTTAATTTAAATTCTAATATTAATCTAAACATTTAATTATTTTCTCCAATCCCCTCTTTAGATTATCGTTCATTGGTTTTTTATCATTTATAAAGTTTTCATTATTTAAATTATTTAATATAGAATTGATTGTCGTAGGTATATGTTTTCTTAAATAATTTTTTGCTAAATATATAAAAAAATAAATTGTAGGAATTAGATAACTTTTTTTAAAAAAATAAAAATAAAAATAATAATGTGTACAAACCATCACCACAAGAATTTTTAGAAGCTTTTTCTAATAATATGCAAACATTAATTTTAATTTCTTCTGGATATTTATTTTCATTATTTTGAAGTATATTAAGTAAAGAACTTAATAATGGCGTTAATTCTGATGAATTATCATCAGCAGATGATGACGGCAACACATCAGAGGACGATGTTAGTATAGTGCCATTTGTATTTACCACTTCGGAAGAACATGTAGAAGAAGAAGAGGATGATGTAAAGAAATCTAATGTGGGGCTTTTTCCTAATAAAACAAAAAAAAAAAAACAAAAAAAATATTAAATATAATTAATAAAAAAATAATATTAACAATAGTATTTATATTTTTATTACTAGTATGTCCAGAATCATCCATTGTTAGTAAAGTCAATGCAATTATTCCTTCATTTTGTAATATAGGATAAGTTGGTTCCAATGTCATGTTTACTAAATGATTTATAACTTTTGAATTATTTAATTTTGACCTTAATTCCAAAATTGAAACCCCATCTAATAAAAGTCATTATATTAATTATTATTATTATATATTATAAATTATGTATTAGATGTCGTAAATAACAATTACCAATTTCAGATTTTGAATTCTCGCTCCACAAATTTTTTACAAGATTCACCAAAATTCTTGTACCCTCATTTTTTATTGTTATATCATCAGTTCGTTGAATTAATGCTAAAACATGAGAAAGCGGCGTTGGTTCTTCTGAATCATCATTATTGATATTATTGCTGCCCATAATTATTTTTTTGGAATTTATCACTAAATAGTGAACAATAACAAATACATTATTAATATAAAAATATATATCAATATTATAATTGAATAAAACCAACCGTTTTTATTAGATAAATGTTTAAATATTCCAATTATGGCTATTTGAAGAGGTATAACATCGTTTTTTAATAATGTCGCCGTGAATTCAATTACACCAAGTGATCCAATAATGTCCTTATTAACAGCTATAAAAATATAAAAGAATAATATTTAATTGAATAATTATTTTAACTTGAATGAAACTACAATAAAGATTATAAAAATTATAATTATTATTATAAATTATAATGTTAATATCATTAATCACCTGGTAGTGATAAATTTTTAATTGTGCTAACTATAGAATGTTGTAGTTTGACACTGTCAGCAGTTTTAAGAATTTCCAATAACGGTTTCATAATTTCATAATCTTTTACCAACTTTTCACAATTTTTATCTATTTAGACAACGTATTAATAAATACGTTTGAGAGCAAATCAAAAATCTTCCACTTAAAATAAACAAAAACACAACAATCATTTACCATTCCTAGCCAAATTTCCTATACATAAAGCTGCACACATCTGAAGATCATTATTTTTAGGTTTTAGATTTAACCATGTTAAAAATTTATTAAATATAGTTGAATCTTGAAATAATAAATCCATATTTTCATCTAATAAAAACATACAATTATTAATAAATTAATATTTTTTTGATTTTTTTCTTAAAGAATAGTGTCTTACCACATGTTGTAATTTTAACTATCAATTTCAATATAACAGCTTTACAATCATTATGAGATTTTGTTTGGCTTAGAAAATTTAATAAATTTTCAAATAAACGATCATTTACAATCATATAATGTATCGATCCTAAAAATTATATATATGTGTGTGTGTGTAAATATATAAACCTATACACAGATACAATTAATTATTGCAATAATAGTATACCATTTTCCATAGCGACTAGCTCTAAAATATCAATGACATTTTCCAATATCTGATTAATTTCAGGTGGAGTATCTTTTATGGTAGTCCAATCGATAAATTTAATTAAAGATTTTACTAAAGATGATATCATTTTTTGGATTTTTTCACTCTCTGAATCTTTTTTATCAGGTAAAGCTATGTTTAAATATAAATTTTATTAATAAAAAATAATTCAAACGAAAGAAATCAATTCAACCCCCCCCCCCCCCTCTCCAATTTACCAAGTAAACCAGAATCCACTAGATTCACTATAACTCTTGTAGCATAATTTACAACAGTAATATCAGTAGTGTGTTTAGATCCAGTTTGATCTCCATTCTGTTGAATTATTTTAGGTTCAACTAAATCTGCGAGTAATGTCAACCCACCTTCCTTTAATATCTTTTCGTTGATATCATCTTGAAATAATATCATATTTTCTTTAGAAACTATAATCACAATCAATCGAATCAAATGAAATGAATGAATGAAACTTTTACCATTGTTAGCACCCGAATTTAATAATAATGCCAAAGCAGTTCTTATCACATTCGATTCATTACACGAGCCATCGTATTGTCTTATGTGACGTATTGCTAAATCAATGCTTCCACTTTCCAAGTTTTTCCTACGATTTTCGTCTAAAATCACAGAATATTAAAATCAACAATTTCTCATTCATAAATTATATTTCAAATGTTTTATTTACCATTGGAAACGCACAGATTTGCTAAAATTCGAAACCCATCATAGAATAATTGATCTGGTGCTATGTTATCATAAATATTCATAATGTCGACAATCAATTCTATGAATCCAGATTTGCCAATCGGATCTCGTGATGATTCTATACAAACAATCAATCAATCGACATTAATTATATATTGTATATGTGTGAGCGAATGAGTGAGCGAAGTAAAAACTTGCCAATTTTAGTAGAGTTTGCTATTATTTCTACAATTGTAGATATTGTTTTCCATTCATTAGAATCAACCTTTGTAAAAATTTCTTTATTTTCCTTACAATTTTCTAATTCTACTTTTAATTTCGGTAGATTGACAATTATCTCATTACCAAGATCTATATCATCAAAAAACGCAATTGTTAACATGTTGAAATAACTGAAAAGTGGTAAATGAAATATGATACAATATAGTGATGATTGTGATGATACCATTTGAATCTTTTAATTGTTGTAATAATTTTTCAAGTGTAGAATTTTGCTCTTTTTTATTATAATAATTGAGAAATTAATGTAATTATTTAATATTAAATTTGACCTTTATAAACAAATTGTTTAATGATTAATAAAATACCATTGTTATCAATTTGATTATTAACATTTGTTTCCATTTTAACAATGCAATTTATACTTGTGTGTGTGGAGGAAAAATTTTTTTGTAAAGTAACAAGTTACGCAAAAAATACCAATAATTAAATCACATGATTTATAATAAATATTGTGAATGTAATTATAATTACCACGTACACACACTTATAATGATTTGGTTTATTTTCTTCAACTAGGTACTTGTCCATGTTCAGGCAATGCTGAAGATGCACAATCTACCAAAAAAACATGGCGTGAGATAATCAATGGATACTAAAAGGTTTTGAAAGCTCACATAATGCGCAAGAGATACTTCAACAAACATATAATGGAATTTTTCAAGTACTCATTGTTTCTCCGATAGCTGTCAAATCAGAAGGAGAACGAGCATTGGAGAACAGAGACGATGTTGACATTGCAGTAATGGCCGGATGGCAATTATTGACATACATAGTAAAAGATCTTTTAAAGCAGTTGAAAAGAGGAGTCGAAACAAAAATTATGATAAAACTAAAAAATTTTCATGACACTTGCCTAATTGTGATGTATTGCTTTTTTAATATAAGTATACGGGCAAATTTGAAACTGGGAACTTCCCATTCTGGTTTTTTCTCTGTTCTAAATTAATAACAATTTCATTAATTAATTTTTCATGTAGAACTTACCTTTATCACCTTCAGATAAAAATTTAATTGACTTGTGAATTTTACTATCTTCCATTTTTAATAAAATTAAGATTAACTCATAAATATTAAAATGAAATGTAGTATTGTTTTGACATGGTCGGAATTATGCCGTTCGCATTAATATTAAAGAGATCATTTTGACATCAGGAAAATTATGTATCATATTATATAATAAAAACATGTGATTCTGAATTGAAAAGAAATTTATTCAAACTTAAATAAATTAAAAAAAAAAAATAATTCTCTACCCATCAATAATTCTCCAACTTTAACCTTATGAACTACTTATTATTATTATTACCATTACCATTATAATTAATTAATAAACAATCATATTTAAAATTAATACCATTATCATTATTATTAATTAATAAAGAATCATATTTAAAATTAATAGATTTAAAAATCATATTTAAAATTAATAGATTTAAATTAATTAACTATTTAATTTCCTTATTAAAATTATATTTCATTAATATCAAGGTCACTCAATAAACTATCTTTGCTTTTTACATTCAATTTAGCAAATTCATCATTTACATCATTTAATATTCTACTTGTGTGATATGCTAATGGATGTGATTTGTGAATTTGTTGTGAATTATTACTACTAATACTACTAATATTACTAATATCATTATCATTATTGATAATTTCCTTTGATTTATCACAAGCAAATTCAAAAAGTACTCCAATAGTTGGTCTCTTGGCTGGATCCTCATCCCAACACCTTTGCATCATTTGTACATAATCATCAGGCATTCCTGGTAATATTGGTGGACGTAAACCTTCACAT